CACAGTATAACAAATTGAGTTGCATTCCGGATTGGTATATTGACAATCTATGTGCACAGTAACTCAACACCCAAAAGAATGAATGCTCTGACTTGCTTTGTTGTGCCCACATGGCCTGGATTGTAGTGTTCGATGTCACTGCTCACCAACGTGTGCTATCCTCGCTTGTGGTGGTTTGGGCTTGGGAATCACGTTGGGGGATGTGGTAATCATTGGCATGAATGTGCTAACCGCGTTGGCTTGCTGGCCATGCCATGAGGGACACATTTGCAACACACACGATTCTCCTGTCATGTTACATTGGCCAGCACCCCTTCCATACAGCTGGCAATGTGCCGCACAACTTGGAGCACCCGATTCCAAGAGTTTGTCAGACATGAGGCGATCTTGCAATTTACCCACCTGTACGTATGCCCAAGGCATTGTGTGAGTTGTTGAACAGACATGCACCCACCCAGAAGATTCAGATGCCCATATAGCGGACCCTCATGAGGAACTCATTGCTCAGATCCACCATTGCCAATGCCAGATATGTGTGGATCCGTGAAATCTTCCCACTTTGTGCCATCATCACTGCGATACGAATGGTGCTGCAGCCCAGATCTGGATCTGGACTTCCCTAGAGAGATCGGTCTGTCCATCTCTTCACAAATCTCAACCATGTTCTCGGAGTTCCACTAAACATGGAAGGGGGACTTGCCTGCGAACAAGCACAGGCAGCCCTGTCAAGACATGCTGGTGTGACTGTCGACCAACCAAAAGGACATTTGTACCACAGAGAACATTATGTCATGCAGTAACCTTCCTCCTGAGGAAGGACACATTCGCAAAGCTGCTTCTAGCGTTTGGCTCTGATCTGTGTGCTGACTAATCGTGAAATGTGCACCACAATACAGGGGTGGCACCAGCACATACAGCGGTATGGGCACCAGCAACTTCACTCTTGCTCTGTGGCAACGTGCTGTCACACCAGGGCGAGAGTACATTAATGCAAACCAGACTAATGCACACCTACAGCAACACCATGAAAGTACAGTCACTTATTGTTGCCATTGGCGTTGTGAGGTTACCCTTCATTGTAAAAATAGCACAGTGAGATGGACTCGCGAACATGCACTGCGTGTTACAAACTTAACACACCTGGATCCGCTCTGATGCCAGATCAAAACACGAGCCCAATCAGGACAACCTGAAGCCTGAGAGCTGAGCTCTGTAACTCGAACTTTACGGCGCTGACTCACTGGATGGATTGGATGTGTGCCCTTTGATACGTTCCGTGACAAGCATCTGGCTTTCAGGCTGGTGACCAGCCAGTTTAGCATGCCACCTGCACACAATCGCACATCCAGTGGATCAAACTGGCATTGGTAGTTAAGACACTAATGCAAGCAAACCGTCACTGGACACTCAACACAATGTTTGGGCTTTCACTGGTGCGCAGAAAGTGACCTAGCATTTTGGTACTGGCTGCAATTGGCCCACACAGCACCAATCATCACATAGCCAATGATAGGCTAGTATGGAGCTTATTTGACAACAGCGATCTGCGCTGTCCTTCCACATTGTCCAACTGGGTGGCATGCAGATCTCCAATCAAGTTGTGCCTTTTTGCCACTGCATTACGGATTTATTTTTATTCCATATAGCCAATTTGATGCACAGTACTAGAATAAACAACCTGTAGTCCTTACAAATTCACGCATTCAGTGTGTGTGTGCTTGTTGCTGTGGTCAAGTGTGTGCCCTCAACATCAATTTCAACTCCACAATACAGGCACCAGTTTGCTCTTTCTTGCTTCATCCATACCAGGATGTGATGTGCCAATGTTGACAAAATGCATAATGCGCGGCACAAATTGCCAGATGCATACTATTGGACTACCTAACAAGTCCACTGTGCACTATGATTGGCGTGAGTGGGTTTATTCCGACCAAGACAAGATGATCACAAATGCCCAGGAGCAAATGCGGTTGATGGTGCTGTGCCCGCCATCACCTTCAAGGTGAAGGATGGTGCTCTGCCACTTGTATACAAAGGAGTCAATGGATTGTTGCAGTGTGTGCAGACACTCACCTCTGGAGCGGCATTCATTGATTGGTGGTACCAATGCACGTACGTTGCCACCAAGCATTGTTGGCACGGTGACCTCCACCGGGACGAAGGCTACAATAGTCCCCATTCAATGCCACCTGACACAGTATCCTGGCACAATGCACACAAGCCGTTCAGCACAACAACAAGACATAATTCAAATCAAAATTGATTCCATTCAACAACAGTGGTGTGTTCAGCTGCATTCATGGGGATTTTGTCCACTCTTAACAACAAGATCATATGGCATTCAATGGTACCAGTACCAAGCAATAGTTTCAGCAGCATTGATGCTGCACATACTATTGTGGATTTGTGTCCATCGGCTATGAACACACGACATGTTGGAGCAGTGAAACGCAATGGAAATAAGAAGCGTTGGCTGCCTGCCCCTGAATGGCTATGCATGCATCAACCTGGGGGAGGAACACTATGGCATCGGCACTGGCTGACACCACAACATATTCTGGCCCAGAGACCAGAATCCAAAGCAATGAATGTCTTGGACCAGCCTCTCGGCCACAAAGAGGACACCATGCACAGCTCCTAACACATGCCAGCATCCCAAAGGTGAACGAACTCATCCTTGCACATCCTTTACAAGTAGCAAGGCGAATCTACGCACATCGCATGCAAACCACGGCCCCCCTCCTGCCCCCAATTCCCCGCTTTTGCATTGTGTGCTGATCATTTCGATCAGAGGCGCCATACCATCTGTTCACAGCATGGTAAACAGTCCCACATACACTTGATTGGGAGGATATGCCCTTTGTACGGCCTGTTTCCCTTTCTCTTTGCAACCAATCTTACGCCCCCGCCTCTGGCCGCCCATCCACGGCGAATCACGAGGAAGGCCAGTGGGTTGCTAGCAGCCGAAAAGATGCAGTCCGCAAACTTTGGCTGACGCGATTTAGCCCAATCCTTTGGCTTCTGAGAGTAGTTTTTGCAATCGTCGTCCGCGCCCGTGCGCACCATGGGGTCACAAGCCATTTGCAGTGCAGTCCAGCACAGTGAAGGAGGAGCAAGGGCGGCTGAGTGCCCCAGATGTCAGTCAGATCGAGTGGAAAGCCACCTCGTGCGCGCAGGAAACTCGTGGCTGCCTCCGCCTCCATTCCAGTCGTGCCACCTCAAACACCACGGGGCAACCAGGGCTGGAGCCAAACTCGCATGTCTCCGATTCTCTCTTGCATTTTCGTCCATTTTCGTCCATTTTCATGCATTTAATGTGCATTTTATTACGATGTTTGAGGGCCATACGGCGGGGGAATGCTGCTGGGAGTGGCTTGTGATTTCTGCTGTACACTTTCTGTGAGGCAGGAGCGATGGCATTGGTGATGCCCTCACATGTCTCCGATTTTCTTGTCCATTTTCGTCCATTTTTGTGCATTTTTGTTGCATTTTCTTGCTATGTTTGAGGGTAGGGGGCTGGGGATGGGCGTGGCCGATGATTTCTGCTGCACACTTTGTGTTAGGCAGGGGAGATGGCATCGCTTATGCCTCACGGATATGACCTGCAGCCCGATCCTCAAAGCCTGCAACTTCTGGGTGCGTTGATTGGGGAGGGCGTGTGCTTATCAGTGAATCGAACTGTGTGCAGCGGCGGCGCTAAGTGTACTGGGCTGCATTTTCGCAAACTGCATAGGGGAATCAGAGCAGATGACAAAGTACCAAGAAAGCGGCTGGGGAAGTGTAGCGTCATGCCATCAGGCAATGTTTGCTAACACGTGCTGGCATCGACATGAGGATTGACACTGCACAAAGGGGGCGACGAGGTGGGCCGTGCTTTCCATCAATGTGTTGTTTCAAGCTTGCCAAAATCGACGTGATGGGTCCATCACCAAAGAACCGATGGACCAAATATACGAAGGTCCCTTCCGGCGCTGGGAAGTGTGCCACACCACGCATTGCGCCAAAGGAGGTCGCTGCTTGTGGACAGTCACATCACAAAAGGTCGCCAGTGCGGAGCCCCTTCACAGTCATCAAGAACAGAAACGCCAACCCCCTTTTCCCGCGCCAAATGGCCCCGCATTCCAGATTCCCCCCCAAGCCCACCATTACCTTGGGGCCCACATTCCCGCCAGCCCCCGATCCCTCGGGACAAGAAACGGCGAGGCGCAAGGCGGGGCAGTGCCACAGCCCCAGCAGCAGCTCCAGGCCCCTCTCGCAGAAAAGAGCACAAAACGAAAACCGCCTTGTGCGTGTGGGGCGCCCCAATAGGGGGCCTTGTCTGCGCGGGGAATCCCATGGACCGCAAGCGCAGGCGTTCCGTCAAGGACTGGACCCCCAATTCGCTGGAAAGGGTGCGTCGCAAAAGTTATGAGAAACTAGTGCATTGGGAGGCCTTGCTGAGCACGTTGCTGCAATTGATCTGCGGGCTGCTTTGAGCGGAGTGCACATTTGTTCAATTCTGAAAGCTCGATATCGCGAGAGTTGGCCGAAATGGGTGCGTGGGTGCAAAGGGCGCGCGGCAGCCCACAGGGAACTCTGCGCAGTGAGAGGCCTTGCTGCGTACAATGCAGCACTCTATCTACAGGGTGGTTTGAGCGGAGTGAGCGTTTGTTCAATTCTGAAAGCTGGCTATCGCGACACTTGGCCAAATTGGGGCGTGGGTGCAAAGGGTGCGTGGCAGCCCCCGGAGAACTCAGTGCAGTGAGAGGCCTTGCTGCGTAGAATGCAGCACTCTATTTGCAGGATTCTTCGGGTGGAGTGCGCATTCGTTCGATAAGAAATGTTGGCTGTTCGCCCGAAATGGGTGCAGAGGGTGCGTGGCAGGCCCCACAGAGCTCAGTGCAGCGAATGGCCTTGCTGCGAAGGAGGCAGCAGTCTGTCTGCAGGGTTGCTTGTGCGCATTTGGTCAACTCTGATTGTTGGTTATTGTGAAAGTGCCCAAACTGTCTGGGCTGGGGTGCATGCTTGTGGGCCAGGCCTCTTTGGGAAGGGTAAGATTTGTTACAAAGAGAGACAGAACGGGTCTGGCGAAAGGGCACCCTCTTCTAAGCAATTGTATGCGAGACTATTTGGGGAGGGGGCGGCTCTGATTGGCGTCTGCGGCTGGAACAGGTGCGCAACGACTGCTTTCGGCGAACGAATGAGAGGCGGGAGGAGTGGAAGGCGCGATGGCGACAGAGTGAGGACAAGCAGTGTGAACGGGTAAGGGTGAGGGCGTGGTGAATATGGAGCTGAGCCTTGCGTAAGTGCGATGTACCAGGCTGCTGGCATGCCAATGCCACAAAGCACTGTGGCTCCTTCCTGTGCCTGTCGATCTCCAAATATACCCTTGCCCTTGTGTCTCGTTCCCTGATTGGGACTGGCAGGTCCTACCTAAGTTGAACTGACCTGTGCTCCTTGGATTCTGTTTGGAACAACTTGAAACGAGCCATGTGGCGCACCATTATGTCATCAACATCACACACAGTACGATTTTGTGTGTTGATGTGTAGGAATGTTACTGACATCTGGTTCTTAGAGCAAGGAGAATTACAATAAGTGGAGGGAAGACACCAGGTAAAGGGAAAATTGACCCTGTTCACGTTTTCCACGCACAGGATGCCATTTCATCCGAGTTGAGGTGCATGGTGAAGGAGGAACTAAGCCAGGAGAACAATGTGATGCTCCAAGACCCAATCCCGGACACACCACTGTCGACGGGGCCCTTGGACGGGTCTGAGCAGGTACATCCTCTGACAATGTTTGCTATAACGTGGCGAATCGCTGCTCTTGCACCAGTCAAGATTGTGCTGCCTCGTGCATTTGAATTAGTGAATGCATCATCAACAGAACAGCCAACCTTGTGCATGGTTTGTGTGTCTTAGAGCACTGCCACAACTGGTCAAGTCACATGTCACACTTTGTTCCAGTCCCTCCTCCTGGACTTGGGGACCTAAACTGCCTTTCACAGCATGGCAAAGAGACTCACACATTTTTGCTCAGGATGGCGCCCCCATAGTGTGACTGTTGTACCATCTTTGTTGCAATTAACCCTCCTCACGTTCACTACCGTTCAGGAGGTGGAATATGAACGGGCACTCCAGCAATTTGAGAACGAACTGGTGGCAAATCTGTGGCATCATCTCATGGAGCAAGAACAGGAGGAAGACGATCGAGTATCCGGCGAGGAATATCTGGATGCAATGGCCAATGAAGGTGAGGGAATCGGCACTGCAGGGAAGGGAAACGTGTTGCACAATGGGCCATCCATCCCAGCCACAAGATGTTGAGATGATGTGTGCATTACTGTGATGGATAATATAGGTTAGATTTGCTGCTGGTGGTGGTTTGCCTTTCCAGAATGTCGTACATTGAAGAGCAAAGATCTTGCAAACGTGCGGTTCTTGCATGAACATTGGCAATGGAACTGTGCCCACCATCGCCATTCGGTTGTGCAGCAAGTGCTTTGCACCATTTTGAAGCACAGTCAAGCCATTTAACCTGCATCCTTGATTCACGTTGGCCACCACTGGATACAACTACAACTGTTTGACTAGAACTACAATAGTGTCTGCATATGTACAGCAAGTAAACAACATACAACACAGAATGTAGTCCATGAATTTACACACAATGTGCACAGTTAAATCATGAGCTGAAGCCAGCAGAATGAGAAGAAAAGTGGCAAACGATTTTTGACTGGCTGCAGAAGCATCAACAGGGTCTGCTCACCAGGCCCGTGTGTTGTGCCCCGTCTGCCGCCAAAGCTACCTGCAGAAGCACGGGGGATTCATCTTCTGTCCCAAAGAGCAGTTCGCCCTGGACCTTCAAGCTGAGGGCACCAGTCTGGAGGAGCTGAGACAACGGCTGGAGGGGGCGTACACGGTGAGATTCTTGTCATCTTTGCTGTCTGTTGTGTTTTCCTTGTGCTACACTACCAATATATTCTTGGTCTGAATTATTTGTTTGATTCCAAGACTATTCCACTGTGATTATGAGATCACCTGGCATTCTGACTGTAGAGGTGTGGGCCTTGTGCCACCTCAAAGCAAGTGCATGGCAAAGTAAAGCCTAGGAAATTGATTGTGCGATAATGAACGCAATTTGCCAGTGCAGTGAGGCATTGTGAACACGCCCTATGACTCTTGGGCAAACGTGCACCAGTCAGAACCTCAGGATCAGACAAGACCGACGAGAATGAACAAGGAGCAGCAAAATAATGGCCCAAGGAGAGAGGACATTGTTGCTGATTTGATCAGATTGCACGGGCTGCCATCACTGTTGCTTATTACTATGCTGCATATATGATCTAACTGTTATGTGTTGCAGCGTACGTTTTGGTTGTCCTTGTGTGCCAGGACTTCTCCAAACAGATCCACAATCTGGCCACCTGTTCCTTGACTGTTGCCAGTATTGTCTATCCTACTGAAATGACACTGTGGGCGCTGTGGAGAAATAGCAACTAATGGCAAAAGTAAGTTGATGTTGTGTCGGTTCCGTGGTTGCATCCATCCAATTGGGAAATATAGCACGGCATGGAGCCTGCAAGAACTGAGAGTGAGAAAAGCTAAGGGTAAGAGCTGTGGGTGAGAGAGAGAAGAAGAGGAGAAGAATGTTCCCCTTGTGCCTTTGCTCCAGGTCATTGGTTGCTCTAATTCATATTTCCTGTCTGTGGTATGCCTTGATATCCCACTTTCCTGGGTGAGAGCAAGAGATTTCGAGTGAGGATGATTCTGGCATGGGGAATAAAACGCATGGTCTATGGATGCAAGTATTTTTTGGGATGTAAGCATGCTTGTCATCGACCAGGCCCAGGGCCCTGCTTTGCCTTTCAAACGCTGATTTGAAAAACGGCATTTAGCTGAGGATGATAGTAGTGTGGGTGTACAGTACCTTTTTGGGTTCACAAGCGGGTGGGTCTCCAGGCTGTGCCTTGAGTACTGCTCCACATCTCAAACCTTTTTTTCTTCGCTGCAAGACAGTGCACTGCCACAGTCCTTGGGAGTGGCGCTGGCAGCATCCTTTCCATAGGAAGAGGCTGGTTGCTTTCAACTGTTCCCCTTTGGGTCCTTGGCTAATCCATATGGTGGAAGCATAAAGATGTCGTGTGTGTGAATGTCCAGGTAATTGCACAGTCAAATATAAAGAGAGGTAATACACAGTATGCCTCTCTTGGTGTTGAACCACAACAAGGTAATGTCATGAGTCTCCTAGCGTTCTAGGAGCCTTGCAAATGTCCACGGTACTATGGGTTCGCCCAACTGATCATCTCAGCGGAAGGAACGAAGAAACTGACGCTCGATCCAGCTGAAGACAGCCTGGCAGCCCACAACTCCTGGTCCCCCCCTGACACTGTGGAGAAGCAAACTTGGCTGTGTAGCCAGATCACCACCCAGTACCCACAGTCAAAAAGTTTCCCCACAAGACAGTGAAATCGCTGGGCTGAGTGTTTGTGTGCGTGGTGCTAGGACCACGGCCATCGCTCATGTGCTGGACAGCTGCGTTTCTATGTCGATGGCAGCCTGGGGGTGAACACACTGTGCACAACCTGCGATGTGTGCCACATGCTTGAAGTCATCGTCTAAGCACCAGCCAAGTGGCCACGGCCACAACAGGTGAGCATTGAATGCGTTTGCTGTTGCCCTTGGATACTTAAGCGGTCAAAAAATGGGCACGGGCATAGCACGCTGAATGCACGTTATACCCTACATAGGCACTGCAAACACAGCTGTTTTATGCAATTGTTGGTATGCACTTCAAGTGCAGAGGATCCTCCTAGTTCTTCTATTGCCCTGCGCTTCTGTAGCAGCATGAGTAGGGGGCTGAAAGGTTGTGGTCCACCGGAGGGTAGGGTACATGGCATGAGGATGTACCGACTGTTTTCGCACCACAAGTCATTTTCTAAGTGGGGCCATCTGTGGCTCCTGCAGTGGCCAATACATGGCAGCTAACTCTTCTCTTTGCCAGTAGTTAGTTGGTTGGATGGGGGCAAAGGGAAGCTGCTGTCAGAATCTTGAAGGGTAAAAGCTTGATGCGTTCTATGGTCAGCAGGGTTGTGGATAGATGCCTGCAATTGCTCTGCTCCATGCAAGCTTAAGCTCTTTCTCTAAAACACAAGGTTCACTCTTTTGTCCAGGCTGACACATGGGTTGGGGGAAGCACATGTGCACAGCACGTGCTGTTTTTGTTCGTGTATAATGTACAAGTGACACAGTTATCAGGATGGGTGCCCTCAAGGAAGGCAGCATTTGCCAAAACATCACATGAAAAGTTTCCTCCTGATGGGGATTGTGGTGAGGGAACCGATCCAGCTGCCCTGAATTGCACCCTTTAGAGTGTGTTCTCCCATTGCAAGGATGCCAGCAGTGGACTCGATGATCACTGGTATGCAGGGCGGTCTGCCATTGTCTTGACAGTACATTGGCAATGGCTTTCATCTTTAAACAGATGCTGCATATGGATACGCAATATGCAGTTGCCGTTTGCTTGTCTCCTCTCGATCGCAATATGACAATCGTTGGTTATCCCCAGTGTGAAGGGGCGCAAGTCCCTCTGGCATTTTGTCAGTGGATAAAGGAAGCGATGCCCATTCACTTGAAATGAATGCCGGTGGAGGTTCTGAAAAGTAAGTTCTTTAACTTTTCACTGAGGATCTAAGGTCAGTGCCCAGGGGCCAACTTGTTGGAATCTCAGTGCCACTCAACAGCGGTGTTTTGTGGCATCTCTGCAGACGTCCTTCTCATGCCACCATCCGTTTCAGGATACAGAAGCAACGGCGCAGTGCATCGCGAAACATCGTTCCGACGAACCTGCTGGCGGCATCCATGTCCAATGCGGACATGCCAAATGTTGTGAAATGTCCCGTCCAAGGGCGGATGTGGGCATGTGGCAGCACAATCTACAGGGACCGTAACAGGGCTACACATGTGGTGAGAGGCGGTTGGCTTGTGTGCATTGCCAGAGCTTGATGAAGCGCTGCTCTTGCCCGTTCAGGGTAGGTGGCAGTCGAGCACTTTGGCTTTGGCGGTCATCTGGTGAGGGAATGGCCAAATTTGTGATTCTGCTCTAGTTTGGATTGATGGCCACCGGTAGCGCATGTCACACCTGTGCCTCCATCATTGCTGTCATGGTGCTGGTTTTGCAGTTGATTGTGACTGTTGAGGGCAATCGGCAAGCCTGGCGGCCAAGATGTGGCGCACTCTCATTGGCTTGGCCTGAAGGAGATAGAGCGCCTTTGATCATTTGATTCTTTATTCAAATTGTTGAATAGCGTGTGGACAGATTTTGAGAGTTGAAACCTTGTGAGGCCCAGCAGCGACTTTGCAGCAGTATGCCCTGCATCCTACTGGTATCATTCAGTTAAGTTATCCACTTGTCAATGGTGGGTTTCCATCCACACAGCAGTCAGTCAAGTGCTTCAGCCTAAGTAATGCGATGGTCTTGGCAGGATGGCAGAACGCCACAGACATCCAAACGTGATGTGTGTAGTGGTTAGATTCCATATGGCTTCATATACAACATAAGTTGTTTCCCACACCCCCGGTTGAGATCACCACCCTGCACCTGTAAGGCGATGGGTAGGCATAAGATGTGGAACCTTTACAGATCGTGCCCTAATCAGAGAGGCTTGGCCACACCCGATGATCCACACAGCTAGTGGGGCAGGATTAGGGCACTCATGGCTTCAGCAGCTTCAGTGCAAAACTGGCATCATGGTGAGCGTTCCTTATTTGCATGCCACCCTCCACAGATTCCACTGGCTCGTTTCAGCTTCAAGCAGAACGTAGTGTTTGGGACCACACACCCCACCATGACATCGTGTCCTACAGGTGAATGGGCATCGACTGCTGCTTGCACGCATTTGTTGCACACGACAAAGCGCAGCACTTCCACCTTCTGTGGTTATGGCAGGCGGTGCGCACACGATGGGGGCATATCGAATGACATGACGGCATTTCCAGTGTTGAAAATATGATCATATTCCCTTTCGGAAAATATGATCAATTCAGATGTGCAAAGAATCCCAATTCCCGTGTGAAATGCTGCCATTTCCCAATGCCATGAGCATCAGCGCAGCTAGTGGCAGGCCAAAATCCAGAATCAAGTTCAGCTCAGATCGAGTTTTGCGCCAAAAGGCGCACAAGCACTGCAGTTACAAGGGTCGGCGGCCACAGCAGCGCACATCCACCATGCCACAATCCATCCCAAATGCACATTTTGGAACAGAATACGCACACCCATGCACCCAACCGCGGTGAGAGTTCCAGCTGCTAGTGAAGCATGCAGCAATTTGCACATCAGAATACACTGCATGTTTCTAGCAGGGAGCGGAACCCCCAATCGCTTAGCACAACCAGCGTCTTGCCTAAAATAGCTGGCAGCTGACAAGGCCAGTCTCGAGTCCTATTGGTCAGTGCGACACCAGCCATCCAAACACAACCGCCCCAGCGATCCTTCCTTTATTGGCACTGTGCCCATGCAAACTGTACAAGCAAGATTGGACACAACAGCGAAGCTGCTGCACTTGGACCTAAACTACCTAGCTTAGGCAGTGGTCGAAAGGCGCTTCACTTGTCCTCACCCAGCGCGCAACCTGCGGGTGGCAGACTGCCACCCATACACAGCCGCTTCAGCGATTGCTTCACTGGCTCTGGGGTCACCTAATCTACGCAAACCTCAGCAATTCCTTCATTTATTTCCTTCAGGCCAATGTCATCTGTACACGTGCCAGTTGTGTCCAAGCAGCCCAAGGCCACCCTGACAGCACACCTCCATCACAACCTGCACTCTCCACGATGCTCTTCTCAAATACGCTAATCTAGCACCCTGATGTCAGGACCACCACCCAGCGCCACCAAGTCCCTTGTGGTCCATCCCTTCAGGACTGTCAACTTGGATCCAGGCCAGCCCGCGGTGCAACAACTCCAGCTTATGCACCCATCAATCCACAATGGCAGCAGCCCAGGAGATCTCAGCAGGAGCCAGCCAGGTACCCGTGGGGTGTGGCAGGTCCAACTTCCTTGCCTCGTTCTGCACCACATCGTTCCCAACACATTCGAATGCACGACTTCAACATTCAAAGCTCCAGGACTCTGATCCAGGGCAGGCATTCCAAAGCATCACCCCCCTGGTTCTGACAGACTCGAGAATTTTAGCTTCCAGATGATGGGAGATCGCAAGTCCACCAGCATCAACTTCTTGTGATGACCCCCTTGGTTGTACCAGCGGTGAGGCCATATCCAATGGGGGGCAGTATGATCCCCTGCTGCTCCAATTTCCTCCTCACAGACCTCTGCACAAGCCAGCCCAGCCATGAGTAGTTTGTCAGAAACGATCCTGCCAAGACATGTTGACGCTGCACTTTGGCTTGCTGCATCGCAAGTATCTTGGCTAGGCGGCGAAGGGCTGAAGGGTGCAAAAGTGACGGCAGAGGGAAAATAAAGATGAAACAGTGAATGCGCTGCTGTTGCAAAATTTTGGAATGGAAGAAGAAAGGTAAGGATGGAAACAAGCAAACATGCTGCTGGAGATTGGCAAGGTGTAGCCCACCACATAGCAAGCTTGGGTGCTTCATGCATGACCAGCCAAGATATCTAGCTTGTTGTTAGGCACCTGTGAAACTGACTGTGAACACCAGCAGGCACATTGGGAGCCAGTTTCACTATCTGCAAGCACAAGGATCTGATGCTGCCCTTGAATTGTTATTCAACTGTTGCACATGAGATTTCAAGCATGTCTCTTTCGCCATCTTCTGCTATCTGGTGCACGATATTGTGACGCCAGGGAAAAAAGTAACCAAGATGTGCCATTCTTCATTACTATTTCCACCCTGCTGTGCTGCTGAGCAGCTGAGCAACTGTGGGGCCCTGCACTCTAATGTATGGTTGTTGAGTGAAAATGCGAAAAAGAAGAATGGAATTGGTATGGTTCGATCACATTCAGCGGTGTGTACACATATGGGATCTGTTTCACGGGGATGTCACTGGCCGCCTGTCCCCTGTGCATGGAAAGCAAGTGATCGCTGCAAGTGCAGTGATGGGATGGACAGAGCACAGCACCACTGGGGTCACAGTCACTTGTGTTCTGCAGAGCCTTGCAGCGCTCACCGGCACGCCGTGGGGGTACTGCTGCAGCAGCTCCAGCTCTATCTGCCCAGCCTCCCTGTAGTGGGTAAAAGCCGCCACACGATCTGCATCGACTCTATTCCTGGTGTCCTCCTCCAATTCGCTCAACCTTGCGTGATCAGCTTCAAACTGCAAGCGTGCGCTGTGTCGCATGCTGCTCGCGGACTGACAAAAAAAAACAAAACAAGAAATGAGGATCACTGGCAGCATTCAACGCTGTGAACCCCTGTATGGGGCACTGCCAGGCTGCCTGCGGCTTCAGTCTGCAAGCGCACAAACACAGTCTGGATGGGAGGCTACAGTAGGAGTTTCGACAGGAGACAGACCAACACCACAATTTTCGTGAGAGCGCCATGCGTGGTTTTCAACAGATGTTGTTACAGAGGATTGATGGTGGATGTAGTCACTTCAGCTGCTGCATGCCAAGCAATTCTTTCGAACAGAAAGGAGACAGTAACTTGAACTCCAAAGCCACCAAGAGCCCTCAACCCAAGCCAAAAAGCACAGCTGTGCACCTCAGGATCTGGTCATCCTCGCACAAAAAAGATTGGAAAAACAAATAAAAAACACATAAATTCTAAAGCCAACAAATGGATTTATTAGTTGTCACGGTCAACAACAAACACGCATTCCAATCAACTGTTTACACAGCATTGAACACAATCGTGACCATACACAGACACAACGTTTAGTTGGATTCGATGCTTCACATCTCAGGCAGCTTCTTTTATCAGTCGCCACTCTCCCATGGCCACCTGCCCCTTGCTGCCTTTTGGCAGCAAGGCTTGTGTTCCATTCCTGTTGTGACCACACACTTCCACAGTGTGTTGCTTGCTATGGACAAAGGGATCAAAAGGCACTTGCCATGTCATGTGTAAGAGAAGTGGTGCTCGAACATGATCTTGTGCACAGTATCGGGGCGTCAAACAGAACAACATAGTGATCTGGCACTTGTGTCACCAGTCCCCTGGCTGTAGAAAAGGCAGTGCAAAGCTCTGCACTCGCGTGGCTGAGCTGCAACTTACAGGTGGTAGTCGGGGAGGTGTGTGATCGCCTCTGTAATCCAGCAGAGGGTTGTCAGGCGAAGTCTGCAAGTTGGGCGTCCTCCTGCCTGATGGGGTGGTCGGCCTCTGTGGACTCCAGTTTTCCTGGCTGCAGTAAGTGGCCATGTGTCATGCTTGGATGGCTGGAGCTCGTCGTTTAAAGCAATTATCATCAAATAATGCTGTGCTAATGGGCAACAGTACCTGAATTGGAAAGACTATCTGCCTTCAACAAAAGGACGTCGCCTGGGCAGGTCTACACATGCTTGGGCCAGTTGCAAAAGGCAGGGCCACCCCAGTGGATTGTGTTGCTCAGTATTCCATTGATGCTAAATTTTCATTTTCTGCATTTGCTTCTGTTTTTTATGTTGTTTTCTGTGATATGGTGTGTCCAGAAAACTGGGTGACCAATGCCCCCACCCCTTGAAGGCTACGGTGGGCGCATCCCCACCCGGCGCCAACTGCGCCTGCTTTCCGTTCAACTGCAGATCCACCTCTGGCCAGCCCCTGTTCGCCTTGCCTGCAGTAAAATGGGTTTTCCTTGGATGTCTGGTGCATCTTTCGGCTGCTTGGTGGTGTGCTGGACGGCAGAGAGACATTGGCACCCCAGCCCTGTCGTGGGTACAGAGGGTTCTGTGGGGAAGTCCTGTTGGACAGCGAAAAGTTGTCATCTTCATCGTCGTCCTCGAATTCCTCCCCGTTCTCAAGGGGGTTGCCAGCTGTCGGGCGGTACAAGTGGCACGCCCGCCGGATGCGCTCCATGCGCCGTGCCTGGGGAAAACAACAGTCGACGTCAGTGGGTTGGCTGGCTATCCAATTCTCTGGCCAGTTGGGGCATGGTGATATTCAAGAAGCTGTGTATCTCTCTATCCACAGGGATATTCAAAGCAGCCCAAATGTGGAGCATCGAAGGCACATCATTTTGATCAAATTTGTGAAGATGTGGCAAATCATAGCCCTTTCGCAGAATTGTGAAAGTTCAGATTAAATCAACCAATGGCAATCCACCAATGGCATTCCTGCATGCAGTATTTCACTGAATGGTGCCTGCGAGTGAGCTGACATACAACCCAGCAGGAAATCAGTGAAAATTGAATTATCCCTCTGGCTTCAAAGTGTCTGGGCTGTGCTTCCTGTGTAGCATAGCGCTCTGTAAGTCAAACATGACATGTGCCTCCCCAGTGCAGCATATTGCATGGTACGCAAAGAACACATGCCCCTGGCAGAGTATTTTATATATATATATATATATATATATATATATATATAAGGTGTTATAGCATATATATATATTTAATTCCAACACATTATAATACATTTTGGTATGCACTTATAGTATATAAGTAATTAGGTAATAGGAAGTTAGTTTGTTAGTTAGTTAGTTCGCTGTTAATTAGAAGTAATATATATTATATGCCCCCTCACACGGCCACTCTTATCAACTGTCCTCCCTTTCCTGTCTCTGAGGTGACAGCAACCAAAAGCAAACAACTACGGAGCACCACAGCTTGTGGCATGTCAGGGACTTGATTTATCCTACATTACCCATAAATATGCTAAAACTCTTGTCCTGAATTACCTGTTCTTTGGCAGTCTGTTTTCTGGGACACCCCTCCACATTGTCACCCCTTGTGCAAATCTTACATGGGTTGGGCATGCTCATTCTGGCTTTCTGGCACTGTTGGCACGTTATGAAAATGGGCCCAACAATAGTGAAGAGCACACGATTGTTGGCAGCTGATGTGACCGTCACAGCCTGCTGGATGGAAACACTTGGCTTTGCAACGAATGTTGACAAAGTCCAAGCAAAGGAATTCACGTTGGGCACTAAATGCAAGTCGCACCTCCTCCATTTCCTCAGCCTTCTTTGCTTTCTCCAATGATTCCATGTGTCTGTAGTATCCCTCATGGCGTGCCCCGTTGGGCCTACTGCTCTGCTTTTCTGCTGACAGCTGATTCTGAAGGCTCTTCTGCTCCTCAAATTCATGCCTGCCACCACAACCCTTTGCCAATTATATTTACAAATGTGTTTATCTCCATTTGTGAGGGTGCATTCATTACTTCCTCCAAGTTCTTTTGTGCAGACCAGATCAGTCATATGGCAGGCACCAAATCTCTGAACAAGAGTGTTGAATGCTTCAAGCAAGTTGAGGTTGGACAGTCTACTGGAGCCAGACAGAATGAACAGTTGATTGAATGAAAACTCCTCAGGGGTTCCTGCATGAGCTCTTATCGTGATTACAGGAGCGAGGTGCTACATCACGCTGTACAAGATGGTTACGAGTTTTCTTACCACATTGTGAGGGGCAGCACCAACACCGATGCAATATAGATTGGTATGTTGTATTGTTGGTATGTTGGATTTTGGTACTTTCTGCACCCGGATCCAAATTTGTTTCCGGTCAAGGCGGCCTCTTCACCAGTGCCTTCTCTGTCAACCACAACGCCACGTACAACAAGGATGGCGAAAATCTGGCATTGAATGACAGCCACAAACCAAGCCGGAAAAGATCAACAAGAAAATGGACCGCAGCACGCAGATCGAAAAGGATAAGCTACTCAGTATGGGGCTCCTCAGTATTATACTCAGTATGGAGCTTCCCACCTCAGCACACGCATGAGAGGCCTCTCTGGGAGGCCGTAGGTCGGGGTCCCTGTGCATCGGAAACAAGCAACCGGTGTGAAGGCATGAACCCACAGCAACAACTCGAAAACGACACATACAAAAACACTGGTCATGGGAAGTGTCGTTTCTGGGCTCAGATCATCAAACAGCGACGGCGCTCCCAGCGCTTCCCAAGGACACCACAGCGCTCGGGCAACAAGAACGCCCAAGTGAGTGCACCCCTTGCGGAATCGTCGAGAATCCACATCATCTTTCACAGCACGGCAAAGAGTCTCGCGTACACTTGCTCCGGAGTGGGCGCCCTTTGTGTGACTCGTTTCCTTCTCTCTTCTGCAACAAATCTTGCCCTTGCGCAAATGGATCGGCCGCGAACCGGCGGGTCCACCATCGCCCACACCCTCGTCAGCATCCCACCGCAACCAAGATGCCTCCAAATCGAACACACCCTCGCGTCGGCTGGACGCATCGGGACACGGGACAGCGGGGATCGGGGCAAACTTTCGGAGCGCGAAGCCCCTTTCTGTACGTGGACAATGTACTGTCCGCGGCGTCAAACGCCGAGACAGAATGCCGCAAGCCGGCACCGTTCCGGCCCGACATGCCCACCCCTTCCGGACCCCACGCGCTCTCCCTTTTCGGGACGGCCCTCCCGTCCCCGCTCCCAGCAGCGGCCGGAGGCGATGGACTTGAATGGATTGTCATCCGCATGCTGAACAATCTAAACCGGTACCGAGCGGCACAATCTAGGGCCCATCGGGGCGGCAAGGCCAGGCCAAGTTGTAGAAAGCCAAACGACTCGGCAGGAAAGGGGGCTGCGGACGCTACAGGATTGCAATCCGCGCCTTGAGCGGCAGACTGCGGTTGACTGACGACCATGAAACATCGGAATCGCGACCTGGGGAATGATTTGCGAGGGCTGTCGCGAGCCAGGCGCGGGGGTTTGGGGCCCACCCACCATCCCGTGTGAAGGAGACCGAGGCCTTGGGGAGGGCTGACCGGTCCTGAGATGCACAACAGACCAAAAATTTGTACCGGTGTAGATAGGTCAAGCGGCAACCGGTGGCGGAGTCTTCCAACATGTCGGCAGATGAAGGCCGCGCGCAACAACGGCGCATTGGCGCTCAACATGGAGTCACCGAAACCGCAGCAAAACAGCCCGGACAGCCCCAGCGCGCCTGCAACGGATCCCTCAAAGGGACGGGTCGAGCGGCAAGAGGAGGCGCAGTTGTTGAACTTGTCGGCAGATGCAAGGGTGCGTGTGCAAGAACCCCGTGTTCGCGCCCACCAGGGAGTCCCTAATACCGCCGCAAAAAAGCCAGGAGCGCCTCCGCGCGCCTGCAACGGATCCCTCAAACTCGCGCTTCGCCCCTTGGTGGCCTGGGCCAGCGATGCGCGAATTTGCTTCCGGAGGGGTGACGGCGCGTTACCGTGCGCGTGCTCCTGCTGCCTGGCGTCTCGGTGCGCGGCGGGGTTGTGGCGGTTGGCGTGAAGGCGCGCCGCGAAGGCATGGCGGGGAACGGCGAAGCGAGAGGGCCCTGAGTGTGGTCGGAAGCCTGGGGATCCGAGGTAGCGGGGAGGGGGTTGAGGGGGACGCCTTTGGCCAGGACGCCCTTCTCATTACCAACATCATGGTCATTTGGTTGAGACCATTATTTTACAGGTGGGACGGCCTTGGGCCATGGGGGTGGTGTGGGTTTGACGGCGTTGTTGAAGTTATCAGCATCGTGGCCATTTGGCTGAAGGACCGCTCAATTGGAAGACCACTTTGGTAAAAGGCCGCTTAGCAGGCGTTAAGTTTTTTGGCAAAAAAGACCACTTAGTTGAAAGACAACTTAGGGAAGACAATATTTTGAATTTGGTCGCTTAGCGTCAATGTGACGTTAAGCTCAGAACCCACCTCCCCTCATTCCTCAGTGTCAAACCTTACTTCGATTCCAGGCTGACTCATCAACATTAGGGAAGACGCTATGTCGATTTGGGTACGCTTAGTGTCAATTTGACGTACCCCCCCCTCTTAGCGTCAAATTGATGCCGAGTGTACCACTTCCGACATAGTGCCTTCCCTTACCTGACAATGCCATGCAATTTCGAAATAGTTTTAAGGGGAAAACCGACCGAAACTGTTGCAAAGGGAGTGATTTGAAAAATGAGATGTCAAAAACCATTGTGTTGCGCGGCAGCGCGCAACAGGGGGTGAGAGAGAGCTACCGGTGCGGGCGCTCGAAGGCCATTAAGCCGGGACTCAGCACCGGACCCCAAGTACTACGTACTTGGGGCCACACCCGAGCGCCGGTACCTGGGGGTACCCCAGGTACCGGTGGCCACCGCCCTAGTGCCGGTCTAAGCACTCTAACCCCTACACTATCGTAACCGTAGCCCTCTTGGGCCGGTTACTGTAGGGGGTTTGTCGATACCCCCGGGTACCGGTTAGTGCGGTACATCACTCCCCCCCCCCCCTTTAGTCGCGACCCGCGACGTCAGACCAGAAGCTGGCAAGCCGACGCAAGAAGCGGGAGGGACGGTGGGAGGGGAGACGTCGAGAGCCCGCCTGTTGCGCGGCAGTGCGCAACAGGGGGTGAGAGAAGCCTCCCAGTACGGGCGCTCGAAGGCCATTAAGCCGGGACCCAGCACCGGACCCCAAGTACTACGTACTTGGGGCCACACCCGAGCGCCGGTACCTGGGGGTACCCCAGGTACCGGTGGCTACCGCCCTAGTTCCGGTGTGGCAACCCTAACCCCTACACTATAGTAACCGTAGCCCTCTTGGGCCGGTTACTGTAGGGGGTCGCCGGTATCCCCGGGTACCGGCTAGTGCGGTACACCGCCGACGGGACGGGGGACGAAGGGAGTGGCGGGGGCGACGAACGCCATCGAGGAGGTGAGGCGGAACGAAGATAGAGGGCCACAAGAAAATCCCAGGGATACGGTGGGATGTGGCAGCGAAGGGGAGCGCCCCCACAACGGTATAATATAATCAAATGGGATGGGGCCGTGGATGCCGAATGCGGACATCGGCGGCAGGATAGATGAGACTGCGGAGAAACTCTCGGCGGGGAAACGGCCAGGCAGAAGATACAACTGTACCCCGGTAAGAACGGGGTTGAGAGAGGCACACCAGAGGGGGAGGCCAGCCGAAGCTGCCCCCCCAAAATGGGCAAGAGGCGTAACAAGGGGCAATGCACAAGGAAGGGGGTGACATGTCCAGTGTAGCTCCCCTCGGATGGTCCATGAAAAATCCGGCATCGCGTGCCTCTAGACCCGTACCAAGCTATGGGAGGCCACGCGGGCACCCTATAGGGGCCACAGTAGTACCCAAGCGCGCTGAAAACCCCTGGGCGGTCAGGCAGGGGAGGGCAAGGAAAAGAGGGGAAGAATAGCCCCAGAATACCCCCACAGGGGGAAGAGCAAGCATCCCGCAGAGCCAACCCGATCAGAAGAGTGAACCCGCGAGTGGCCCGTAAATGTCCCCCGGCCCGGAGACCAGCGGGGAAGGCGGAGCAGGCTCATCCAGCCGGAGACGAGGGCTGCAAAACAAGGCACAGAAAAAAAGAGGTTGAAGAGGAGCATGTGGACCAGCCAAGGGCTAGGTCGAAGACAACGGAGGGCGCCGAAGCGGCGGCTGAAATGCCTCCTTAGGAGGGCGAATGAGCGAAGGGTCCTGCTAAGCCTGAAGCGCAAAGCGCTGTAAGGCTTCCTCATAGTGGGTGAGATTACGGAGAGGCTCCCAGGAGTTGTGGCTCATGTTATAACCCTTCCATTTAACCAAGTAGTAGGGCTGACTGGTCCGACCACGGCGGACAACGGTCTTCTTGAGGAGGGCCTCGACCTCGTACTCGAGCTCCTCATCCAAGAGGACAGGAGGAGGGGGGGGAGGCAACACCGAATGGCCCTGGATATACCGGCAAAGTAGGGAGACATGGAAAACAGGGTGCAACCGGCGCAGGGCGATAGGCAGATCTAGCCGGAAAGCAACGGGATTAATACAGGCCTAAATCCGAAATGGGCCCAGCCACTTGGGCAAAAGTTTCTTGGTACCGGGGTGTTTCAAGTGGAGATTCTGGGTGGACAAAAGCACCAGATCCCCCACTTGAAACGACTCGGCTTTCCAGCGAAGATCTGCCCAGTGCTTCATGCGTTGTTGAGTATTCTGCAAACATTGCTTGGCACGGCGTAACGCGGAGGCCCGATCCTGGAGGAAGGCAGGCACACCGGGGATCTGAGGCAGGTGGGCTTGAGCCCAGGCCTTGGCGGTTCGACGCAGGGGACCGCGGCCATTGCTGCGAAGGGGCAGCAAGGTGCGCTGTTTGAGGGGCAGCGACTGAGAAAAAGGGGTCTGAGGGTGGCGCCTATAATTGAGAAAGAAGGGGGAGAAACCTGTGCTCTCTTGCTTCGCATTGTTGATGGCGAACTCAGCGCAAGAGAGGAGGCGATCCCAATCAGTATGGGCAGCCCCAATATACCGCCGCAACATGTCCTCCAAGGTGCGGTTTGTGCGCTCCGTCTGCCCATCCATCTGGGGGTGATAGGCAGAGGAGAGGTGAGAGTGCACGCCAAGGCGGGACAATAAGGCCTGCCAGAAGGCCGAAGTAAACTGAGGGCCCCGATCGGAGATGATGGAGTCGGGAATCCCATGGTAACGGTGAACCCGCTCCATGAAGATGTCGGCTAAGCCAGCAGCGTCAATCGCGCTGTGCGTGGGCTCGATATGGACCATTTTGGTTAAGCGATCCACAAAAACGACGATGGCGTCGTAGTGAGGGAAAGAGGAGGTACGCGGGAGGTGTACAATCAGGTCCATGGAAACGCTGGCCCACTCATGAGCCGGGATGGGGAGCGGCTGCAATTCCCCCGTGGAGGGACCGGCACGAGGCTTGGAGACCTGGCAGGTATGACACCCGGCCACGAACGCCGCAATGTCGTGACGGCTGTGAGGCCAATAATAATAACGGTGAATGAAATCAACCGTCTTCGTCTCCCCAAAATGGCCGGCATAGGAGGGGCAGTGACCTGCCTCCATGATGCGCAACCGCATAGAAGGAGGCATGAAGACCTGATCGCCGTGGTACCAAAGGGCGCCATGGCGTACCAATCGATGGCGAGCGGCATCACGCTG